GAGGACACATCGTGTGGGTGTGGAGCTACAGGTTTAGATTAGATGTGATTTTCTTGACATTACAGGGTGTATCTTGACAATTTTCAACACTGTATCGTCTCGAGGATGATGGTTTGAATTTGATCTCGGACCTCCCCTGTTGCTTCTGTCACATTGGTGAATGATAATGAGGGAAAAAACACTTTTATTCCTCGGCTCCAGACACCCATCTCCTGTCCTGTGGGTGACAGATGATTGGATGTTGATTTAATCGTACTACAAACTGTGTGTGTGTTAGCATGGTCTGTAATCAACTGGCCATCTGCTCAGCAAATTTCAGTTTTTAAAAAAAGATTTTCAGAAAGAGACTGAAAAGTTAAGATGACTTTTGATGAAGACTGTGATTCAATTTAAGTATAGTACTTTTCATATTTCAGTCTGAATCGACTCATTGATGAGCTGGGTAAAAAAAAAAGATCCATGCAACTGTATTACAAGAAAGTATAAACACAGAAAGCAATCAGTTTTGTTTTTATCGGACCTGAAGCACTTTTTTATTTCAGTCACTCATATATATTTTTTAGAAATATCAAAAGATGATCCTTGAATAGTTTGTTTTTCTACGGCTGTCTGTCGATACAAGCAAGAACCTCCGTGGCTCAAAGTCAGATGAGCATGATATTTTGTGCAAAGATTTACAAGAGATTTTGCTGCAAAATATAAGTTAAAAGTTAAAGGTTCACAACACATTCCAATAAGTCTTAGGAACTGTCCGTTTACTTACAGACGTTAAATCAGCCTCATATATATAGATCACCTTTAATTTGCCAATGTGCAAGCAATGTGGCAGAAGTTAGACTTGTCTCAACTAATATTTATGTAAAGTACTGAAAAAAACTAAAAATGAAACATTCATGAGTGTTTTTCTCTTTTTCTCTCATCTGTAGCATCAACGATGTGAAAAGAAAATCATGTTGGCTTAGAAATTAAGTCTGCAAATACTCAAAATACTCCAAAACAAATCTGACAAAAAAGTAAATGAGAGGCTTGTGTATTTAATTAAATATATAGAACTATAATTAATATAATTGACTTGTCATATTACACTCAAGTGTGTTTGACAGCTGCACTATGAAACAAAAAAAAGCTACAAAACCCGGCTCATTAGCAGCACGTCTAAAGCGCTTTAAAAACTGGAAAAATGGAATACTGCCGGTGCAGTTTTATTCCAAACTTCAGGCTCAGGCCTCCAGTTTTGAAGATAAATGTTATCAGTCTTCTAATCAACACTCAGCAAACCAGCAAATAAGGTTATTTCCTCAAATGCCAAGCAGAATCTTTAAAGGTTAAGAAACTCGTATCGCAGATTTCGAAAAGATGAACCCTCAAGAGTTTGACGTGAAATATCTAGTCCTCCCATTCTCCTTTTGTCCGACCTTTCGCCGTAAAAAATGAGCAGGTTTAGAAGTAGGGCTCTGTGAGTGACTGGCCCCACAGGCTCATGTGTCTGTGCCATGGATCAGAAAGCGTTCCTGAACAGTGAACAGGTGTGTGTGTGTGTGTGTGTGTGTGTGTGTGTGTGTGTGTGTGTGTG